AAGATAACATAAAGAGGGAAGATAGATTAGAAGGTGGAAGGAAGATAACATAAAGAGGGAAGATAGATTAGAAGGTGGAAGGAAGATAACATAAAGAAAGAAGATAGATTAGAAGGTGGAAGGAAGATAACATAAAGAAAGTAGATAGATTAGAAGGTGGAATAAAGATAACATAAAGAGGAAAGATAGATTAGAAGTTGGAAGGAAGATAACATAAAGAGGAATGTAGATTAGAAGGTGGAAGGAAGATAACATAAAGAGGAAAGATAGATTAGAAGTTGGAAGGAAGATAACATAAAGAGGAAAGATAGATTAGAAGGTGGAAGGAAGATAACATAAATTAAGAAGATAGATTAGAAGGTGGAAGGAAGATAGCATAAAGAGGGAAGATAGATTAAAAGATGGAAGGAAGATAACATAAAGAGGGAAGAATGAGAGGATGTAGTGTGGAAGAAAAGAAGAAAAGAGGAAAAGGAAGGAAAGAAGGCAGGAAGTATTGAGGACAGTGTACAAAATGTTAAAGATAAAGGTGGTAACGAAAGGAAGAAGAAGGTTGGAGGAGAAGAAGAAAATATTTTAAGAAAATTCCTTAACGGAAATGAAACTGTACCGCATTTATCATAAAATCAATTCTCGGTTATTCAAAAATAAATTTTCTTTTCATTTATGATAAACAAACAATAGGTGTTATTCAAAACTATTTTAGGAGGTTTTATTTGTTGTATTATTGTATATTTGTTGTATTATTGTATATTTATTGTATTATTGTATATTTGTTGTATTACTGTATATTTGTATTCAAGAGCAGACCATTGACCAGAGTACAAACATAAAGCATAGAATATATACGGAAATATAATCTCGAACATACTGTCAAATCTTTCTCAGGACATCTGCTATATAGTAGACCTGGAGAGGATTAAAGGAGTAGGTTACATCTTCTATATAGTAGACCTGGAGAGGTTTAAAGGAGTAGGTTACATCTGCTACATAGTAGACCGGGAGAGGTTTAAAGGAGTAGGTTACATCTGCTATATAGTAGTCCCGGAGAGGTTTAAAGGAGTATAGGTTACATCTTCTAAATAGTAGTCCTGAAGAGGATTAAAGGAGTATAGGTTACATCTTCTTTATAGTAGTCCCGGAGAGGATTAAAGAAGTAGGTTACATCTGCTATATAGTAGTCCTGGAGAGGATTAAAGGAGTAGGTTACATCTTCTATATAGTAGTCCTGGAGAGGATTAAAGGAGCAGGTTACATCTTCTATATAATAGTCCTGGAGAGGTTTAAAGAAGTATAGGTTAAATCTTCTATATAGTAGTCCCGGAGAGGATTAAAGGAGTATAGGTTACATCTGCTGTATAGTACTCCTGGAGAGGATTAAAGGAGTATGGGTTACAGTCTATATATAATAGTTCTGGAGAGGATTAAAGGAGTGGGTTCCATCTTCTATATAGTAGTTCTGGAGAGGATTATAGGAGGAGGCTACATCTTCTAAATAGTAGTCCTGGAGCGGATTAAAGGAGTAGGTTACATCTTCTATATAGTAGTTCTGGAGAGGATTATAGGAGGAGGCTACATCTTCTAAATAGTAGTCCCGGAGAGGATTAAAGAAGTAGGTTACATCTGCTATATAGTAGTCCTGTTAAACCTGGAGAGGAAAGGAGTAGGTTACAACATCTGTTATTTAGTAGACCTGGAGAGGATTAAAGAAGTAGGTTACATATGCCATACATAGTAGACCTGGAGAGGAGTAGGTTGCGTATGCTTTATACAAGACCCAGAGGGTATAAAGTCGAAGAAGTTACAAAGTTGGGTTGAAAAAACCCAGCCTCAAAAAAACCATTCAAAAAACCCAATAATACCCACTTAAAAACTCAGTTTATTTTTTTTTTTAGAATTCTTGATATTTATTCCTTTCCATGGCTGTTAAATTAATTAAATCTTCAAGAATTAGGGTTTTACATCAATTTTAATTGTTAGCAAGCAGTTTAAAGCACGGAATCTTACTTTTTTTTCGATTGATAATAGCTTAAAGTTAAGTTAAAATCTCTATCTCTGACCAAAGGTCTTAAAAATCTTTAGGCCACTGATAACTATATTCATTAAATCTGCTCTTAACCTGATCGAAATATGAATGTAAACCTTGCAAAAATATTCGACCAATCTTGTATCACAATCTGATATTCAAAAATCATACATTTGGTTAGTGTTCACGATTAATCACTTAACAAACTTAAATTTTCAACTAATCCTAATTCTAATCATAATCCATCCTACAGCGAATCTACCTAGGAAGATGCTACCTTAGCTAATTTTCAGGTCTAAATCATTAGTAAACGCTTTTTAAAGATAAAGATTATGTATTCATTAGAAAGGAATATGATGTGATTACAATAGTGTAGAGAAGCGTAAAACGGTAAAACTAAAAACCCAATAAAACCTCAAAAAGCCCAATAAAACCCAATCAAATCCGGTGGGCTGGGTTTTTTAAAACCCGAATTTTCCAAAACTCTGAGAAGTTATATTTGTTTATATATTGCGGAATCAACGAAGGGTTGAGACACATTTTAAAATAATAAATTGATATTTACTCAAGATATCTGTCTAATAAATACTAGTGTTTACTTCTTTGCAAACTACTTTCACAAATCCTGAGGACCCCCTCCCCCTCCTGTAGTTTTAAGGAGCTTTTAACATTGGTGTCATATTAAATTACATCCTTGTGATCAAAAACAATAATATAGTTTCAACTGCCGTGTTTTAGAACCAAGAATATTAACGAATATTAATTAATTGTAAATTATTTGGAGATTTGTAAGGTGTAAGGTGTAAGGTGTAAGGTGTAAGGTGTATGGTGTAAGGTGTAAGGTGTAAGGTGTAAGGTGTAAGGTGTAAGGTGTAAGGTGTAAGGTGTAAGGTGTAAGGTGTAAGGTGTAAGGTGTACGGTGTACGCAGTGGCGTACGAGGGGGGGCCGCACCCCCCCGCCCCCCTCTACGCGTGCCCCCCCTGAGAGGCTGAGAGGGGCACCCATAGGGGATGCTATTTTAATATTACATCTGCTTGCATTCTCCTTCCTCAGGCCAGGCACACTGGCGTACCTAGGGGGGGGAGCAGTAGTCCTCTTGCGCCCCCTGGGAGTTCCAGGGGGGGAAGTGCCCCGCCTGGAAATACAATATTTAAAGGAAACTACGTTTAAAAAGTAACACCTGACAATGAGAAAGACTAAATTCACTGTTAATACAAGGAGAGAAAAGTTTTAGCCTTCTAAAGAGAGTACTTCATTACACAAGATGTACTATGACGGAGAGCAGACGATCTTGCACTTACAGCTTTACACCCTGTAAGGCTGTCTGAGCTCTCTACTGAAAAAATCATTGAAATGTTTGTGCAAGCAAATCCCAGAAAATTGTAGCTTAAAAGAGTTAGTGAATATGTAGATTGAGTAAATTCTATCTAAAAATTTCAGAAGAAATTTCGTTTATTAGTAAAAATATAATTTTTAATGATGCTGTGATTATTGATTTAGTTAGCTGTGATGGAGCTAAGTGATAAATTTATAAAGTTAAAAAGTTAGTTTTTCAAGTAAAGGAATAATTTTAGACTCTGTAAGGTTAGTAACACCCAAAAATGTAGTCTTTTTGGTGTATTTTTATGGTAAACAAAACAAGTCCAGGTGGGAGGGGGGGCAAAAAAAATAAAAAAGGTATCAATATTTTTTCAAAAAAGGGGTTTATAAGGGGGGGCATACCGTTGTTAAGAGGAGGACCCCAAAATTTTTTTGCGCGCGCTCACCCACCTAAACAAAAGCCCTCGTACGCCCCTGATCACTTTATCCAATGTCAAAATATTATTTTTGTTGGATCGAATATTCTAAGTTTGAAATATCAAAAGTTTACATCATCACCATAGTTTCAGTAGAATTACATATTTCCAATTACTGATAGCGCCGATTAAAGGATTCATGACTTTGATTGGATAATGAGATAGATAGAAAGATGTTACCACCATACTATTTCTATTGATTCAGAATAGACAACAAACACATGACTGAACCCTGATTGGATCAGGCGCTAATGGACTCAGCATACATGAATGATCATTAGGGTTTAAAGATATAGAAACTAGAAAATACTAGTTTATGACAAAGACTCAATTTCTTTCTTTGCATGGTTTTCTTTTCAACTATATAAAGCAAGTTGTCCTAAACTTTGATTTCAAGAAGAACAAATATAGTTTTGGATTTATTGATTTTTTTGTTTGTATTTTTGATAAATTTTTTAAAATTTCTTGGAATTAAATAAAGAAAAAAATGTTAATGAAAGATTAACAATTCAAAAAAATTATTTCGTCGATAGTTTACTCTTGTTTTAAATAATACTAGCGTTGCCCGTGGAATTTTGAAAACATTTAAGAACAAAAATTCCAGGTTATCCATGGGTTCCCTAAAAAATTTAGTCCAGCCATTTGGCCAGCTATAGCAAACATATATATATAAACGATATTTTTATATGTTTAAAATGTTTTTAAATCTAAAGCGTGAACCCTACAAATTATTTTTTTGGTATTTTGTTTAAAATTGCTTGCTAGGATATCTTAAAGTTGAAATTTAATTTCAGAAAAAATGAAAAGTGTGTCTGTACAAATATTTATCTGTTTAAGTACATTTTGTCTAAATTTAGTGGCTGGATAGTTTTTTTAAAAGTAAAATAAAAAAATTTACACAATGACCAGAAAAATAACGGCGGCCATCTTTCTCTCTCTCCTAATTTCGAAATCCAGGTATAGTTCCAAATCCAAGTATAGTTTCATATCCAGGTATAGTTTCATATCCAGGTATAGTTTCATATCCAGGTATAGTTTCATAACCAGGTATAGTTTCATATCCAGGTATAGTTTCATAACCAGGTATAATTTCATATCCAGGTATAGTTTCATATCCAGGTATAGTTGCATAACCAGGTATAGTTTCATATCCAAGTATAGTTTCATAACCAGGTATAGTTTCATATCCAGGTAAAGTTTCATAACCAGGTATAATTTCAAATCCTGGTATAGTTGCATATCCTGGTATTGTTTCATATTCATGTATAGATTCAAATCCTGGTATAGTTTCATATCCTGGTATAGTTTTTTATCCAGGTATAGTTTCAAACCCAGTTCCAGTTTTAATTCTAGTTTCAAATCCTGGTATAGTTTCATATCTAGATAAAGTTCAGATCTAGGTATGGTTTTAGATCCAGGTATAGTTACAAATCCAGGTATAGTTTCAAATCCAGGTATAGTTTCAAATCCAGGTAAAGTTTCAAATCCAGTTCTAGTTTTAATTCTAATTTCAAATCCAGGTATAGTTTCATATTTAGATATAGTTTCAAATCCAGGTATGGTTTCAAATTCAGGTATAATTTCAAATCCAGGTATGGTTTCAAATCCAGGTATGGTTTCAAATCCAGGTATGGTTTCAAATCCAGGTATGATTTCAAATCCAGTTATGGTTTCAAATCCAGTTCTAGTTTATTTAGATAACGTATAGATTGAAAATTAGATCCAGATGAAAAACATATAATGACTCATTAAATAAAAATAATCATAAATTACACTTAATTTAACTTTATTTAAAATGGTATTTCTTAATTCTTAAATTACCTACTTGTGAATAATTTAAGCAGCTATTTTGAACTATAAATACACATACTTTAACTTATCTTTAATAACATAATCTCTGTCCCCTAAAGGTATGTGATTTTGTTTCAATATGAATGTAATGTATACTTGGATAAGTTTCTTTACAGTTTTTGTTTTTATATCTAATTTCTGGTAATTATTTCTACTTCGAATACTAGAATCATACACCCAGGATAAACAGATATATGTATTCAGATCTCAAATAATGTCTAGAAGTAGGACTAATACATGTATCTTAGGACTAATACATGTATTTAGATAATATACACCCAGGATAAACAGATATATGTATTCAGATCTCAAATAATGTCTAGAAGTAGGACTAATACGTGTATTTAGATGAAATACACCCAGGATAAACAAATACATGTTTTAGATCTCAAATAATGTATAGAAGTAGGACTAATACATGTATCTAGATGAAATAGGTTATTTACATTTATATAATCTGCGAAAATAAATGTCCATACTATTGTATGTATTGTATAGAAATGTATCTATTGTATTGAATGTATTGTATAGAAATGTATCTATTGATTGTATGTATTGTATAGGAATGTATCTACAGTATTGTTTGTAAAGAAATGTATCTATTCAATTATATGTATTATATAGAAATGTATCTATTGTATTGTATGTATTGTACAGGAATGTATCTATATTATTGTATGTATTGTACAGAAATGTATCTATTGTATTGTATGTATTGTATAGAAATGTATCTATTGTACTGTATGTATTGTATAGAAATGTATCTATTGTATTGTATGTATTGTATAGAAATGTATCTAGGATATTGTATGTATTGTATAGAAATGTATCTAGGATATTGTATGTATTGTATAGAAATGTATCTAGGATATTGTATGTATTGTATACTGTAAGAACAGCTGCGAAATATAGATATCCAATACCATGCAATTGAAACATTAGGTTTCCCAAATTGTCTAAATCTTCACACAATTCCTACATAAAAGGGGGGGGGGGGTTAAGTTTGCCCCCAGCAATTTGAAAAGTTTAACGTGCATTTATCATTTCATGAGACTGGGCCAATTGTTACCAAAACTCCCTGAGAGCCTATCGTTATATACAATTTTTATTAAGGTTCTATACCATAGACAACTTAATAATAACAGATAAAACACTAGATTAAAGGATTTTTCCTTCACAATAACCCTAAGCCAAAGGCCCAAACGAGTTACGCTTATGCTTTCTCTTTTAATTCAACGCCGCATGCGCGTAACTCCTTTGGGCTGCTGCTTCAGGGTTATAAATAACGAAAAACCCCTAAATTTTGAAAAGACGACATCTAGTGTTCTATCAGTTATTGTTAATTAATCTATATTATATATAAGTATTAAGTGTATGTATATTAGCAAGACGTATTTTTTGGATCTATCTCAAAAATGTGCAACTTTTTTGAGCTGAATTTTAATAACTAAAATACAGGGTGGCCTAATAAACATGGGAATTTAGAGTCGAATACGAAAGAAGAATAAGCGTTGTATTACCTAATCTTTCGGTGGTCAAATTAAAGTTACCTCTGCTATATGAGTATATTTGGGTAAAAGAATATTCAATTATTTTGATGTTCTGTAAAATGTCTGGCAAATAAACAGATAGGAGGAAAAAATTATTTTTTGATTCAGTACAACAGTTTGCAATCAAAACATAACAAAACACATTATTAACGAAACATCTGTGGAGTACACCTTTCCTAGGTTGTACTTCAGCTTACTAAATCAAAAACTCATTTACAAAGACGATATAAAAATTAACACTCAATATCCATGTTTATTGGGACACCCTGTATGATAAGAGATAACTTTTTAAATTATTTTAGAACTACCGAGAGCGTGGACCCAACTGTTGTTGTGGATGTCGAGGAACCGTTAAAATTCGACGATATCGTTGATCGACGATTTTACGATAAAATGCGGCCGCCGAAACCTGGCGGAAACCCAACCAAAGTGATGTTCCACGTGACCGTTCTCAGTTTAGACAGCATTAACGAGGGGTCTATGGTGAGATTTTAAAAAATGTATTTTTATTTAACATTCTTTTTTATTTCTATTAGAATACGATCAGTTTAAGTTAAGATTATAGTCAGATGTTTACTAATTAAATAAATCTGATTACAGACTACGCTATTTATGTTTAAAGGATAGGATTTTTTTGCCATGGGTAGTGTTGTGCAATAAAATGGTTTTTTTTTTGGTTCGGTTTGGTCCATATTTTAATACAGGGTAGAATTTTGGTTAGGTAGGTTAGGTATTGTTCACGTTTTTTGCATTTATTATAATACAAAAAACTATCCGAAAAACTATCTAAAAACCATCCAAAAACTATCCATGAAAGCTATCCAAAAACTATCTGAATACAAATGTGTTAGAAGAATCATTCAAGGATTGTTTTTTTTTTCAATTTTTAAGGATAAAAATATTTTAAAGTTTAAGAAAAGCGAACTTTAACAGTTTTGAAATTTTGGAAGCCTTATCAAAATATATAAATCTGTGAACTAGACGGAAAGTGACGATTTTGTGGTCTCTTGCTTCTCTAGCTTTGATTTGATGCACAAATGTATAAGAGAAGAGCAAATTTATCCGGTTACAAATTATAAATTCAAAACATTTTTGTTCTTCTCATTAGCTCTTTAGGTAGAGGAGTTAGGATCGTAAACATAAATGATTTCAACCTTTCGTGAAACTAATTGAGTCTTTGCCACAAACTCAATTTTCTAATCCCTATATCTTTGGAACCTTTGATATGTCAAACTTAGATTATTTGATCTAACAGAATTCATAGTTTGAAACAACTATGATCAACGACCTCTCGTTGCGAAGATAGAGAGAATAGAAAATCTGAGTTTGTGGTAAAGACTCAATTCCTTTACTTTAGTTTCACGTAATTTGGTTAAATTGTTAATATCACCGAGGTTGCTATTCTTTCAAAACTAGACAAGAAGATATTTTTTAATTCAAATTCATAATAAACCCCCCCCCCCCCCCCCCCCATAATGGTAAAGGCGTCCCTCATGTCCCCCTGTCCCTCCTTATTTTTCTACTGCATATATATTGAATATTGATAGTATCAGTATTTATAAAAAATCTGTTTATCGATTCATAAGAAGTAGGTTTGTAGTTTGCAATAGAGCTTAATAGAGATATCTTAGATGCTGATACCGTTATATATATTTTTGGAACACAGCTTTGCCTGGAATCTAAACTTTCTCTTGAAAAGTCAATCAACTGAAGATATTTAAACCAAACCAAGAACATGCTCGTGGTTCTAAGTTTAAGAATCAAAAGTTAAAGCAAATATATGTTATGATACCTCCCACCCACTCCCATTAAAAAATGTTATTTTGTTACAATACATCTTTTTTTGAAAAATTTAAACAATAGATATCATTTATATTTCTAGATAATCTTGCCGTTTTTTCTTGCATTGAAAGAAATTCACAGTCATCCAAATGTTTCAAGCTTTGACTCAAAAATCAATGATAATTTTGTCAATTACTTATCAATGATAATTTTGCCAATTACTTATCAATGATAATTTTGCCAATTACTAATCAATGATAATTTTGCCAATTACTAATCAATGATAATTTTGCCAATTACCTGTCAAAAAGTAAATTCATTTTTTGCTCTAAAATATTCATCTCGATGACTACAAATATGTGTTTCGATAAAGAAAGAAAACATCCAAGACCAAGGCGTTGCGACAATTTTAAGACGACCCAGTCTTGAAAATTTGTGAAACTTTCCATAGCAGTGTTGAACTATGTCAATAGAAAATTAAGTTGGATTTGAGTCTTTGACACAAACTCTGATTTTCTAATCCTTATATATTTACAGCCTAATGTTATAGACCTTTGATATTTCAAACTATGAATTATGCTGGATAAAATAATCTAAGTTTGAAATATCAAAGGTTTACACCAAAAGGTTGCATAGATATAGGGATCGGAAAATTTGGCAAAAACTCATTTCCTTTCTAGAAAAAGGTTTTTTTCTCAAAAGTGATTTTGCAGGGAAGGTATTATTCGTATTTGAAAATAAATTTAGGTCTTTTTTATAACCTTATTGTTACATTTTCATGTTATGACTTGCATAAACAATATGGATCTAATAAAGTATTTTACAAAGAGTAGATACTTCATGCCTAAAACTTAAACTAATTGTAAACTATGAATTCTGCTTGATCAAATTGTGAAAAAAGTCAAATGTGCAAGTCCATGACTCCGTGACTCCAGTTTTTTTTTTAATTGTCATTAAATAGTTACGCAAAATAGATCAATTCTTGTCATTGTTATTAAGATAAATATGTATAGGTAAAAATTCTAAGTCTTTTTTTTGGCATAGTTTTATTTATAAGGTCATAGATAATTATTCCTTTTAATGTCTTCAATATTCACAGAAATAGCTGGATCCATGTTTTTCCAATAAAAGTATCGGTGGATTTAAGTTGTTTACCCTTGTTCAGGGGCACGGGGAAAGGGATTAAAAAAATGTTTGTCTCGGGGGAAAGTATTCTAACATTTTCAAAAGATTCGGCTTAAAAATTCACGCATTTTTCCACAGATATGCACAAATGTTAAAACTTTTATAAATAAATCCTGACTGTGAACTTAAATTTAAAACATCATCATGGCTAGATTTTAACTTTAAATGTGTTGAACTACAGGGTTAACCACAAAGAATGAGACTTCAGAGACGACTGTACAGAATTCATAATGCCTGTTTCCTTATACTTATGATTTCCTACAACTGTAAAAGAGTTGAGTTTTTGCCCAAAACTCTAATTTTCTAATACCTATATCTTTGCAAGCTGACTGTGTAAACCTTTAATATTTAAAACTTAGATTATTTGATCTTTGACTATTCATGGTTTGAAATATCTACGTCTACGTCATTGGGTTGCAAAGATATACGGATTAGAAAATCAAAATTTGTGGCAACAACTCAATTCATTTGTTTCTTTCTTTATTAAGTAAAATTACTAAAAATTTTTAAAAAAATATTTGATTTTTTTAAATTCAAATTTTTTTATAAAATGTAATATTTTTCAGACTTATGCAGCAGATATTTTCTTTGGGCAAAGCTGGAACGATCACAGGTCAGCTTAATTCGCACTAAGGGACTTATACACCTCAAATAGATTCTAGTACAATAGATGGCAACGTAGAATTCGTACAGTCACAGTACAGTACAGTTGTATTTTTTGCGTCACAAGTGTCAACTCTACTTTTGTGTCCAACAAAATTATTGATAATAGTGATAATTTTAGAATAAAGTACAAAATAAATGCAATTTTAAAAGTTCTTTATTTTCTGTTTTTACACTTTTTTGTGAGTAATTTAGTTTTCCTTGTTACATTTGACGCTTGTGACGTCTTGTATTGGTTGTTCATTTCTCATTTTCAGGGATATCATGAATTTTCTCGCTGAAAATTAAGTGTAAAATTAATGCTAAAATTAACCAAAATTTCAAAACAAACACGGTGTATAAAAATTTGATTTTTTTGTCTCTCAAAATAAATAGATAATAAAAATAGTTAGACAATATGAAACAGCTTGCACTGCAAGATATTTGGCAATTTTAAACGTGTTTACGAATAAGAAACTTAGACGCAAAAATTTCAACTTTAAATTAAACTTAAAAATTATGTCTGCAGTCCTTTTAAACAAATATTTTTATATCATTTTCCTCATATTCTCATTATATTCCTTCCATCATTAATTTGTTAATTAGTCAGATTATAAACCTTAATCCAGTCAATCTAATCAAACTTAGAGGGAGTGTTCGCAAAAATGAATAGCTGATATCTGAGTTGAATAATGTTAATTTATATGAGACGTTTTTAACCATTTTCTCCTTTTTTACATTTCAGACAAAACTAGAATTAGTAGCGATCGATATAGAATTCAATTCGATATGAGCCTATACTCCGTTTTTATATTTTGGGAATGCTTTCTATAATAAAAACAAAAATTCTGAAGAATGATTTTTTTATGAAAAGCAGGATCGCATTTTTTTCATGATCCTTTGTCAGTCAAAAGTCGTATTTACTTTTTAAAAAATCGTTTTGTAAATAAGATTATGTATTTTTATAGATTAAAGCTGCCGGCAAATATGACCCAAGAATATCGTCTCCTGCCAGTCGAATGGTTGCAGGTAAGACCAGAACTCTAGAAGTTTCCTCCGTAATGGCGCATTTAAGAATTTATAAAGGTTTTATCTCAATTGTTTTCATTTGCATAAATCTCTGAGTAAAATGTTGCATAAGTTTTGTATAAGTTTTATTTAAGTTTAAATGTTTAATAAATAATATTAAAAAAAAGATTTAAATGAACTTTTTGCGTTATTTCAAGATAGCAATGTCCAAGTTACAACGGTATCCTGAAAACCTAAATCTGGTCCAAAATGTGGATGATACCGTCGGTGTTTAGACTCGAAAAGTTTTTAAAATTGATCTTTTCTGTAATGCTTCTTATGATCAAGAAATGTGCATGCAAGTCACTTTTGCAGAGAAATCCCAAATCAATAAAAACAGTTCTGAAAACAATATTTTTAAAATTTATTTTTTACATTTTATACCGTCGCGTTGTAAATCTGACATTGTCATCTTGTATGAAGGGTCACATTAAATTACACTAACAGTCCATTTAAACTACCAATTTGCAAAAAAAGTATAGTATGTGTTTGTGAGATATTAATAAAACTGCCATCTTTTAAACAAAGATAATAATTTTAGGATATTTGGCGCCCAGACAGTTTCTTTAAGAACGCTAAGCAAGTAACCTTCCAACGAATGACCATCCCGAACCATTATCTTTGGTTGTACAAGAGTAAACAGATTATGTACATGGTCAAGTAAGTTTGTTGTACAAATGCAAAGTTTACATATTTGCTGTTTTGTTTGAATTTGAATAGAATTAAATGTCTCTCCAAAAATGAACCAAACAATTGAAACATTATATTTAGAGAAACAGGAAAATTTGTGATTTACATTCTACTTTTTAAACGTGTAGATACTTCAAAAATGCCTAGTGTGGAAATAATTATTAGAAATCTTGAAAAATAATTCGAACAATCAACAAAGGAAATTAGTTCTTGCCATAAATTCAAATTCCCCAATCTCTATAGCTTTGCATCCTAAATGGTATAAATATTTGATAAAAATCAAACTTAAACTCTGTGTGACCTATTAGAATTAATAGTTTAAAATATCAAAAGTATACACATCATTATGCAAAAACATATAGGGGTTAGAAACACAAAAAAACATAAAAAAATGAAGAAAAAAACAGCATTGATTTTGAACGAAGGAAATGAGTTTTTGCCAATTATTCATATTTTCTAATCCATATATCTTTGCAACCTGGTAATGTAAATACTTGAAATTTCACATTTTGACTATTTGAACTCACAGAATTTACAGTTTTAAATATCAAAGGTCTACGACATTAGGTTGCAAAGATAAAGGCGTTAGAAACTCAAAATTTTTGACCAAAACTCAGATCATTTGGGGAAAATTCTTTTGGTTTGGTTTGGTTTGGTTTGTGACTAATTTGTTCCTGTACCAGGTTGACCCTTCTCCTGAGCTGTTCAATGAAGTTTAACAAATATCCACATGATGAACAGCTCTGTAGACTCTCAGTTGAAAGCAGTAAGTAAAGTTTAAATACAGGGTTACCCACAAAGGACGAGATTTCAGAGACGACTGTACACTGTGCAGTCTTTAATCTTAAATTCTATGCTCCCTATTTTATGCAAATAATGCATTTAAGTTTCACCCTTTTTGGTTTACCCTGTATATACGATGATAACAATCACTGTTGCAAGAAATAAAAAAACCCAAAATTATTTATAACAACATTTGAGAAATATTTATCTCTCAATAATTTTTGTAAACATTGGGAATTTGTAAGATATCTCTCCTAATTATTTTTTCTCAAATTCTAAAATGGTTCGTTAATTTGAAATGTTTTTGGTTGTTTGATCTGAGTTCGAATCTCATGAATTTGAGCAGCGTCTCAAATCCGCAAAAAACCGGTTTCAATCGAACGCCGGCTTAAATCTTGAAACAGTTTTAAGCTGTGGCTCAAATTATCTAAATTCAGCCTTTGAAAAACAAAAATATCATTCTCAAAAACTCATTATTTTCCACTTGAATTAATTTAAGTTTTTTTCGCTAAATGGGGATGAAAATGATTTTTTTTCGTAAAATTCTCAAATAGGAAAGAAATAACCAGACAAAAAAATTAATGAATTTTTACCATAGTCTCAAACTTTCTAATTTCTATATTTCTGAAACCATTGATATTTCAGACTTAGATTATTTGATCTAACAGAATTAATAGTTTGAAATATCTAAGGTCTACGACATTGGGTTGCCAAGATATAGGGATAAGAAAATTTTAGTTTGTGGCAAAAACTCAGTTCCTTTGTCACCCCAAAACCATATAATTCCTCAATTAACGGTACAATCATTAAGATTAACATTATATATTGTCGGGCACAGTGCAAACTTTGAGTTTAAGAAGAAAAAATGAAAAAGTATTGAATAAGAATTTAACGAACAGACTTTATGTTTGATCAAAATAGTCAATAAATTCTGTTTATGTAAGTTAGAAACTTGATCTATGACGGAAACAACAAGAAAAAGAAATAAATAGTTGTGCCCTTGGATACACTATTGCATGATAGGATCATACAACAAACTTTGCTATCAACCGATTGGAACTCTTTAAAACATTTATCAGCCTGTTCAAAATATGTAAGTTATTGATAGCAGATCGGCACAAACAATTTGGTCATTTTTAATCCTTTGATGAGTGAGAAATCTTTCTTTTTCCTTCTCAAAATGTACAATCGGAGATTTTTTAGAACTGCAAATTTAAAATTTCTTCGACAGCAGAGAAAGAAAATGGAAGCAATTTCTTGAATAAAAAAAAACTATTATAGCGCCATCTTATTTCTTAGATATAAAGGTCAGGGTGATATAATAGTTTATTGCTTGGAAACCTAGCTTTACCTGGAGTTTTCGCCAAAAAAAATCAATCCACTAAACTTGGAATTTTCAAACTTTCCCGTGGTTCTGCCGGGTTACTCAATCAAAAACAAGGTTATATGAGTTAAGCTCGGAAATCAGAACAAACATTCACACTCTGCTTAAAATCTCAAAACCAGGCTGAGTTCCCCAGTCAAAATTTGAGGCAAATCGGTCAAGGGGTTTATGAGTTACGCTCATGATATCCAAATAAACAAAAACCAGAGATTACTACTTTATATATATATATATATGCAGTATATATGTTGGTATTGTGCAGAATGCAGCATGCAGCATGACACTAACCTATATGGTTGCCAAATAACTAAATAATTGCTGACACTAGTGTTTACAGAGCTAGGGCTTAAGCACACAATGTTATTTGTTACTAATCCTTTTATCAAAGAGTTGGGATAGAATTCTGAAACCAGTTCTCTCTGGGCGGAATTTGTAAACAAGATTAGATGCATCAGTGTTCGTTTAGTATCCGAGGAGGTTAAGGGCATTTAATTTTGATAATTAATAGTTTCCTATGACCAGAATATTTCATTGATTATTTTATGTGAAAGATGGATTCCATGTCAGGCTTCGACATCAGTCTTGAGTTTGCATTACCGCTCAGTACAAAACATGTGTACACTTCTGAAATAACTTTCCTTGCATTAAATCCTTGAAAGGAATTAAAAAAATAGAATTAAGGAAAAAGTAATAATTTTAGCCTCTGTTACCCACATGGTACCATTGGGCTTCCTATAAATAATTCAACCAATGCGGGGGAGCCGTTTGACCAGCTATAGCTAACATATAGGTTAATATAAAAATATATATATGCCTGAGAGAAGAGCTTTATTATATGGTTAAAAAGCCAGTTAGTATGTTAGTTAGCTGGTTTTCTACAGACCCTCCCTGCAAAGATGGCAATGCCCTATTTACAATGGTACAATGGTACAGAAGAGACTTGCGCATTTCTTGTTTATGAGAAGTAATTGAGAAATTTGCAGAAATAAACATTGTTTGCGTCAGAAATGAATAGATTTTTGATCTGATTAAGGTTTGAACTAGGTGCTGTTGTAAATTGGAAATTTCCATCTTTCCATGCTAACTGGGTTACTTGAAATAAAGCTTAAATTCCCGTTTTATAAAGGTTGGATGGTCTGAATCTTTGTAGTTTGGGGAGGGGGTGTTTGGCACTCCCCCACCCCCAAACCTAGAAAAGGCCTTAGATAATAGGTATAGGGTTGAAATGCATGTTCATAGCCCAATTTTTCAGGGCCAGATCATAGAAAAAATAATTTGACCGATAACTTTGATAGTTTGGGTGCTATGGAGGGTTGAAAAAAATGCTTTAAAAGGGTTAAAAAAGTGAGAAAATTTGTCGGTTTGTTTTAAACAAATATCAAAGTGTGACACATGTTTCTACATGTATTTCTTAAGGGCTTTTTTAAAATATAGTTTTCAGATCTGTAGCTTTTGTCACAAAAAAAGTTATGGGCTATTTCATATTATTTTTATTCAAAGACCAGACTTTTTTCCGCCCTACTCCTACCCAATGAATAAAAAAAAATTTAACAAAAAATCCTTTAAATTACTTTTCATTAGAAGTTAAAAAATGTCACGGTGATAGTGTCAAAAATGAGNATATGGTATGGAAGAGATCTTGCTCTCGAACCCCCCTCCCCTCCCGTTTACCATTTTACAGCTCTTTCCCACTTAACCCTAAATTTATCTGAATTGTATGCGGTACTAAAGTAAACAAACACTGTAAACAAACATTCATTTAAATACTAAATATACATTGCTAAAACTTCCAAATATTTTCTAAACCAGGGAGAAAATCTAACTACTATGTGAGAACGAAAACAAATTGAATTTTCTATCCCATCAATGCTTGTTTGAGGGGGGATAGTGGACATTTTACACTCTAAGAAAATGGGACCAAATTGAGAATATTTTTATATAGATTGAGTAGTTTCAGATTTTATACTCTAACCAAACTTACTTTTTGCTCTATAAAATAATTGTTATTTTTTAAATTTCAAGTTTTTAAATTTAAACGGACAACGCCGGGCACTTCAGCTGTTTTAAGATAAAAAAAATAAATTTGATGATTAAATTTAATTTTAAAGCAATACTTATAAGACACAAGTAAATTGATATCAAGTTTTTCTATCTTGAATTTCATATGTTTTATTATATAAAAAACCGTAAGTTTGCTTCATTTGCATTATGAATGTTCATCTTAAAAACTAGATAAATACACGATTATGAATTTTTACAAACAGATTGTATAAGAGGGTTGAAAATATTAAATGTTCTTTGAAATAGGGATTACTACTTTATATATATAAAGATAACAGGTTATTAATAACCATACTAACTCAGACTACTCTGCAGTCTGCACAATACAGGATTATGAATTATTACAAACAGATTATAAAGGAATGAATGGGTTAAAATATTGAATTTTCCTTGTTTTAATATTCTACAAACTTTAGTATCCATTCAGAGCTCATGCAATGAACATTTAAACTTTGCAAACTTTCTTGAAAACAATTTGTGATTTCTCTATTTCTAATCCTAAATTATTGAATGAATAATATTGTGTTAATAGTTTACTACACTCCGTGTGGTTTTCTAATGAAAACTGGATGATTTGTAAAAAGAGGCACTCCGCGCCCAGTATTTCTTGTTTTTGCACAAAAACACAAATATATCATTTTACAGCTATCTGCTCATTGTTCCCAACAAATGTTGTCAAAAATATTATTGTATTGACCAACTATTTACATTCAATTATTAAGCATATTATATAGGAAGCTTAATTACAATCAGGCGCATATACAGGATTTTAGCCAGGAGTTATCAAATTTTAGATAAAAGGGAAAACTAGGATAAAGTTTGAAAATAAATGGCGCGAAGCACTAAGAAAATGTTCAACTACTTTTAAAGGGGAAAACGCAATTTTGAAGATGAGGGCAAGCTCATTTTTATTTTAAATCAAAATTCAGCAATCTTTAAACTTACGCATTTAATTGTTTTGTAATTTTTCATTCAAAATCTATATGCCAACAAAAAAGGTTTATCAAACAAAATTTGTTCACGTCAAACTAAGTATATTTGACATTAGATTGAAATATCAAACCATAACTCCTCTTTATAAAAAAAGCTATTGAGAAGCACAAAAAAGTTTTGGTTTCATGTTTCCAAATAAAGTTGCTTCATGCTTTTCTAATGTGCGTAAAATCTAAACTAGATGAGCTACAAGGTCACAAAGTTTACATGGTTAATAATCTAAACTAGATGAGCTACGAGGTCACAAAGTTGGACGTTTAATGTCTTATTTATTTGACCTTCTCCTTCTGTTTAGTGTGCGAAGCTAAAACACTAATAAACAATGTATTAAAAAAAACTTAAACAAAAGATAAAATACCCTTTTGTTTGGTATTACAAATTTTGCATTATTTTTTATTCATTCAGTCTTTTAAATAGGATATTTGGTCTTCATTAGTAAACAAACCTAAACAAGTATTTAAGATTTTAATGCCTTGAAAATGGATTTTATCAACGATAAAAATGCGCAAAATTTCTATAGAAATCCGAAAATTTACTAAAATCAAAAGAAAAGTCATTAAACGCATGAAGAGGGTTTTTCATTTTTTTTATAAACAATCGAAAAACGAACCTCGAACTTTCAAAAATTATATTTTTTTTCAAAAACCGAAAATCGATTGTTTTATATTTTGCTTAAGAATCTGAGTTTTATCACAAATTATTTTTTATAAATTTCAGAAAGATGTTGTCTTAAATGTTTTTTTTTATCGAAACAAATAAACATTAATATTTTCTGAACTCGAATTTGCCGACCAAAGAAATGTATTTTCTCTTTAAAAGGTTGTTAACGATTGATATAACAAAGGGTCGTTTTAAAAAACGATCGTTAATGAAAACGAAATTATCGTTTTTCAAAAAAGTGGAAACAATCCATTCTCAAATGAATGTAGCTAAATTTTTTTCCCTCAAGATAGGCAAATTCGGCAAACCAATTTTTAAAACATTTCCAAAATGTCTAATAAATGTTTTTCTTTGCACTGATGTTGTGGTGAGATAAAAAATGCATAAGTTTATTACGGGAGGCATATTGTGTAATAAATTATACAAATTAGATTAATTAAGCCACAGCTTCCTACAAACACAGAGAGGGATGCATTTACTCAACAAATCAAAAACATACACGAGTGGATCCATTTTTGACATCACCTACCCCCTCCCCTGGCCCCTACCGCCTCCCCTGGTTCAATCGTTTCATAAACCTCACGAGGTACAAGGAGGGTTTCCTGCGAACGGAAACTTTCTCAAAAAATGCACAAATTGCTTTCCGCATTTTGTGAAATTTTTGTAATTTTGGTTACAAGAAAATTCTGCATTTTTTGCGAAACAGATTAACGCGAGGAAAAAAATTTCAGATATTTAATTTATTTTCCTACAGAATTTAATAAATGACTTTTAATGAATTTGGGAGGGACTGGGGGTGGAAATGCAGAGTTGGACACTGTAAAAACCAGTTTTTTATTCTTGAATTAATTTAGTAGAATTTTTTTGTTGCCGCTTCGAGGACATTTTTACCTAACTTCTGGGGGGAAATATGAAGGGAATGAATTTTCAAGAAAATTTTCACCCCTGTTATATTGTAATATGTTCACCCCTGTTAAACTATATATTACATATATTGTAATAAATGTTATTTTCAGAAAAATTTGTTATGCCTTTAACAAAATCGGGAATAAAAAAGTGTTTGAATGAATTTATGAAAGTTCTCAAAGAAAATATTTACTAAAGTATAAAGAATTTTAAATTGTTGCAGATTCCTGAGTGAAGAACTCAGTGAGGAGTGAACAGGATTTTTGCACATATCTTGCCTCTTAACTAAAAGCACTCTTCATATTTTTATATCGTCTTTCTGGAATTTAAAAGAATAAACATCTATATATGGTAAAAATGTATTCGAAAGTGAAAGCAACACTGTCACTCAATCTGAATTTTGGCCTAATAAGATATCAGGGACTTGAAACTCTAAATTATGGCCTGTATTGTTGAAATTATGCATCAACTATTGAGACTGGGCCAACTTTAAAGTTTTGTTTGGCAGATTTTATGTTTTGTGGAGATTGTGTATTTTGTAAACAAGTCACAACACAACCATTCTATAGTGGATTAAGTTAGTGAAGGCCCATTAACATTCGAATTTTGAAGTATATTAAGAATTCCAAAATTTTTCTCCACTAAAGGGACTGTATATGTAATTTCATGTGATCCTCCACTTGTTTGTGGATTGTCATATCAGATTCACTAGGATACACGTCTTTAACTGGACAACAAGAAGGAAGTTGAAATTGGGTATTGTGACATAGAAAAACAAGGATATCTTTATTTATTTTGCTTAGAGCACTGGAAATATCGTCTACAGTCTCTTTTAGTTACATTTTCCTCCTGTAGGTTCGGACTAATTAGAAATAAAAGAAATTAACTTAATTATGAATAAGCAGAAACCGTACTGCAGCCCGCATCAGTAAATAAAATATTAATCTTTGTTTGTTTGTTTGGATGTCCAAACTTAACGCATGAACCGATTTGCCTCAAATTTTGTTTGGGGGAACTTTGTGGAGAACCAGTGAAAGTTCTTATAGCTTAGTTTAGAGATTCGAAACCTGAATAGGTCTACTTTTCTAGGGAAAAAATTGCTAAAAAATGTAATTTAAGAGGTGAAAAACTAAGGCTAAAAATTGTAATTTCATAGGTAAAAACTTTGGAATTGTGGATATTGAGATCATTGCTTGATCTCCACTTTCATTAACCTTAAGATTAAGTGTAATCTTACATTAGTATCTAACATTCAAGGAATCGGAGTGTCGATTGTAGAAACCGAACAGCCAATCAGAATCCAAGAAATTTTGGAATTTTGAGAGGATTAAAAAGAAAATGAAAAGTTTCGACAGTAAATACAAAGATTTAGTATTCTGAATTAATTCAGATTTGGTAATCTGAACCCAATACAAGAGTTTTGAACTCTGAACCCAATACAAGAGTTTTAAACTCTGAACCCAATACAAGAGTTTTAAGCTCTGAACCCAATACAAGAGTTTTAAACTCTGAACCCAATACAAGAGTTTTAAGCTCTGAACCCAATACAAGAGTTTTAAGCTCTGAACCCAATACAAGAGTTTTTAACTCTGAACCAAATACAAGAGTTTTAAACTCTGAACCCAATACAAGAGTTTTAAGCTCTGAACCCAATACAAGAGTTTTAAGCTCTGAACCCACTACAAGAGTTTTAAGCTCTGAATCCAATACAAGAGTTTTAGGCTCTGAACCCAATACAAGAGTCTTAAGCTTTGAACTCAATACAAGAGTTTTAAGCTCTGAACCCAATACATGAGTTTTAAGCTCTGAACCCAATACAAGAGTTTTTTAAGTTCTGAACGCAATAACGGCGGTAAAATAAAATTCTAACAAATATGTTTGAATTATTATTTTTCAAAATTTGTATACAATCCTTGATTTTAGTTTCCCACACGACGGATGATCTTGTTTTTGAATGGCTACCGGATGAAGAAATACCCCTAGTAGTCGAACCAGGTAGATTGTTTTTAATATTTAAAAACAAATTTATATGTAGTAGAGTACATTAATACAGTATGTCGCCTAGACTATCCATTTAATTTTTTAATTTTTTAAAGCTGTTAAATAAAATTAAATACACCTGCAGTATGGAAACAGTACAACAAAATGACCGTTTTACACTTTTTTCTAGTAATTCCACTCTAATATATATTCTATTCTCTTTGGTTGTACGTTCCTTGCTGATTCATACATTGCACTGTGTATTGCATACTGAGCCCGGAACTAAAAACAGGGTGTCATCATGAAACCAAGTATCCGAAACCCAGTTTATGAATGGGACTAGGCTTTTGTAACGAAATATTATTTTATTTGTTTTTCATATTGTTTACTAATTTACTATATTAAAATCTACAGGAATGTTTAGACCCCAAAAAAGGAAAGTATAAGAAGTTTCGTTCATCAATACTTTGAAATATTTTCAATTTTCCGACCCAGTATCATAAACGGGGCGGCTTTTTTGTTGTTGCCATTATTTTGTTACGCAATATTATTTTAATTGACTTCTTCATATTTTACATATTTCTATTTCTGGAATCAAAATCTACAAAAATTAAACTTTGGAAATACTCTCTTAAATTTTGGGCTCTTTCTATAAGGAGTTTATGTAGCTTTGATTTGGGAGAATGGCCAGAGCTGAAAACTTTAGAATGGTGGATATCGAGATTAATGCTTGATCTCCTCTTTTTTTAAACATCCAGATTAAATAATGCTTGTTATCTTCTTGGTATTAATCTCGAGATTAATTAACCGATCGGGATTAAGGATATTTCAATCTAAAGTTTTCAGCTCATGTTAGGTTAGGTTAGGTTAGGTTAGGTACAAAATATAGGACACAAAACATCTAAAACTAAATTTCATTTGACAAAAAATATTAACATCTAAATGTTCGAATTATTTTTTTCTACATGTACACATTTTGTAAAGAATCCGCCAAAAAAATGTTAAAAATTCACAATCGTGAGAAACCAGGGTAGTATATTTCCCCCCCTCCCCCCCTGAAATTTATGTTTTATTATTTAAATTTAGAAAACTTTAATGTTTTTCGAAAATAAGACGTTATGCCACGTTGGATAAGTTAAATTTTAATCATGTTTTCAAATTCAAAAAATTCAAAATAGGTGTGCTGTACCCTCTCCATTCTACTACTCAAACTCTCATAGACAAAATTAATCTGGCGTGATGTTCCAAAAAAAGGAAGTTTAGATAAAAGGAAATCTCGAAAAAAAGGAAGTCTGAAAAAAGGAAGTATAAAAAAGAAGTCTAGAAGAAAAGGAAGTCTAGAAAAAAAGAAAGTCTAGAAAAATGAAGATTCGGAAAAAGGAAGACTAGCAAAAAAGGAAGTCTAGAAAAAATGGAAGTCTAGAAAAAATGGAAGTCTAGAAAAAAAGGAAATCAAAAAAAAGTTCCATTGAAAGAAATTTTTGTCTGGAAAGTTTCCATGGCTATCTTTAAACTTTTTATCTTTCGTTTAAACTTGTTCTGAGCAAAGTTTGAGTTAAATGATATATGCAGAATGTATGAAAGTTATATAACTGGCAGCGAAACATACATTTGAAAATTCTTTGAGATTTTTAAGAATATTGTTAAAACAGTCTAGTTGTAAAAGGCTTACGGGGAGATTTGCGACCATCATTCTGGAAAAAAAACTCGTTTTTTGTTTACTAGTGAATTTAAAAGGAGTCTAGCACCCAAACTGTTTAAAAAATGACTGTTTAGGAATTGAGCTGCCCCAAATGTTTAACAAATGACTGTTTAGGAATTGAGCCTCCTCAACTGTTTAACAAATAACTGTAGGAATAACTGTTTGATAACTGCTTAAGAATTAAACTGACCTAAATGATTTAACAAATAACTGTTTCAGAGTTGAGTTTTCCTAATTGTTTAACAAATAAGTGTCTAGGAATTGAGCTGCTCCAACTGTTTAACTAATAACTGTTTCAGAATTAAGTTGCCCCAACTGTTTAACTAATAACTGTTTAGAAATTAGACTGTCCTAAATGATTAACAAAAGAGTTGAGTTTTCCTAATTGTTTAACAAATAAGTGTTTAGGAATTGAGCTGCCCCAACTGCTTCATAAATAACCGTTTAGGAATTTAGTTGCCCCAACTGTTTAACTGATAATTCTGTTTAGGAATTGAGCTGCCCCAACTGGAGTTGATCTCTAACTACACAGCTGACTGTACAGCACATTACTCAACTGGAAATTTCACGTGCTTAGAAGTCGTCTTTAAACTAAGACGGCGCTTAGGGTCAGTATTTATGAAAATACTGTCTGTGGTCTTCAGTTATTAATGCTAGAAACATGATTGCTAGAAACATGATTGCTAGAAACATAATTGCTAGAAGCATGATTGCTAGAAAAGCAGTTTTTAAGAATTAAAGACGGTTATTTATGTAAAAAATGTTTGGGTAGTGTTGACAGTTATGTTACACATGGTTTTAGTTTTTCAAGCAACTCTGTTTTTATGGGTATGGGTATGGGTATGGGTATTAGATATTTCTGAATCATCTTTTTTACCAAAAAAAGTAGATATTTATTTAGAACGAATGTACAAATTATCAAAAATGGTTAACACTGGATTTTCAGTTAAAGAAATCAAATGAGAAAAGTGATTCTTTACAAAACAATTTACGGATTAAAATAAGTATTAAATTGCTCATTATCATAATCAAAACTTTTTAACATTTAAAGAAACTATATAATAGCTTAATTTCAAGTGCTTAATTTCAAGTGACCTTCCATACATTGCTACCCTCACAATCTTTATCTACAATCAATAATAAATTGAATGACATTACCTGATAGATAGTGTTTAATTCTGATAGTTTCAATATGTTTTCCTGCAGTAGAAATGCGCAATTGTCTCTTTTGTAGAGAAACCTCAAAAATAATGAAATTAGTTTTCAAAATAATATGCTTTGAAATCTAATTTATACTTGATAAGACAAAGTTTTAAATGTTACCTATCCTCCTTGTGTGAAGGGTCACTTGAAATTTTGCTCACAGTCCCTTTAAATTGGTCTTTATTTTAAAAGGCCAATGTTCGAATTTAATGAATTTGATCAGCGTCTAAAATCCGCCAAAGCCTGGTTTCAATTGAGCTAAATCTGGAAAAAATGAATACGATTTAAAGTGGAACCAACCATATTTGAGCCGCGGCTCAACAAACATTAATCTCAATACAAATTTTATGACTTTATCCTTAAAGTACATAATTAGAAAAAATAAGATTTCTAATTAAATGAAAAATGTTTACAGGATTTTTTTATTGATTATGTAGGACGGTAAAAAAGACGTAAAAAGTTTTATACCCATTTCATCTAATCAGTCAGAGCCTTTTTCTACGTTAAAATACAAGGGTGGTCCAATAAACATAGGAATCCATCTTTTATCTCACATAAAAATTCAATAAAAGCTACAATTTTAAAGATAAATGTGATTTAGGTAATATTTTAAACAAACTTTTACCAAAAAAAAGCTCTTTAAAAAGTTTTTAATATGTCTATCTCTATTTCCGTTGAAGCTTGCTGCAATATTAGAAGATTTCCGTTTGAAAATCATGCATGAGAAGTATGATTTATCAATATCAAAAATGAAAAGTATAAACCGAATCATGATTTATTCAGAATCCTTCCTATTTTTGGAAACACTCCCTTTAATTCAAGTTTTTATTGTTTTAGGTATTTTATGTTCCACACGTATATCCCAACTTGTCTGATTGTTATGATGTCCTGGATATCGTTCTGGATCAAGGTAATCCATTCATCGTTAGAAATTAATATATTTTTACAAATTCATATCTTAATGTCAGAGACATTGGTTGTATAAAACAATAGCAAAAAAGTTTTCGGATTTTATAATAACTTTTTGCTCATTTCCATAATTTAACAAGAATCAAAAAACTTGTTGACACAAATTTTTGTAATTTTGAGCATTCATACACCTTCCTAGGGTCATGTGAGGTCCCACACAAAATTTGGGCCCTATCGGTTCAGCCATTTTGACGTTGATTGGATACAAACAGACACCAGACAAGCATATATAGTTTACCATATGTAACATAATGACAGAAATGTGGGTCACCAATTTTCAACATAATCTAAAAAAATTGTTAATAAATTTACGAAAAAAATATTCCAGCAAATACACGATTCTGATCTGAAGGTTACATTTTATAACAATAAGTTAAAAATATAAGTATGCAATTGCTAATATAATGATAAAAATATAGTTTACCAATTTTTAACATAATATTATAAAATTTATAACATGATTATACAATGAAATGTTTTAAGATTTCGTTTGATGCTTTAAAATTTACAAAAAATTCTAGTTTTTAACTTTGAATCTTAATAGTCATGACTTAGCCAATGTCAACAATAAACATGCGATTTAAAAATTTATCGAATGAAATGTGAAGTACCCTTCCATTAAGAAATTGCAACGTCATATTTAGAACGGTGCATTTAAAAAGTGTTATCTGTTCTAGTGTGAATTAGATATCGATGTTTTTCATTTTAAAAACTATTTTTTTTTAAATGGTTGGTTCTCTACTGAAGTGACTTGCGCATTTCTACTGTAGAAAAAAATTTAGAAATTATCGGATTTAGTTTTTCATCAGAAAAACGACAATGTCTTCAATCCACATTATTTTTGAGATAAATATTTCAAGAGTACCGTTGTGGATCGGACATTGCCATCCTTGCATGTAAGTTCACTAGGAAATTAGGCTCACATTCCCTTTAATTTTGTTTCAAAAATTGGAACTTATGCTTAACATTTTTCTCTCTCAAATGAAAAATAATATTCTAAACTAATATTATATATATTAAATATATCATGCTTGTATATTGTATACATATTGTAAAAGTTTATTTAAACATAAACAAGATATTGAGTTTCAAATTAACTTCACTAAACAAATATTAATAAAGAATAATAATGCTACTTTAAAATGAAAGGTAAAAAATCAATGATTTGAAATTTTTCTATATTGAAAAGTGTTCAATTCTGAAAATGCCCGCCATGGTTGCTTCAGAAGAAGAAAAAAGGTGAAAAACATAGGTATCTCATTCATTCTTGATCACTCAAAGCTTGTATGGGAACTGTTGTGAATCGAAAATGTCATGCGTTAAGTTGAGGTTCGCCTAAAATCACTTCTATTTCAGCCAGAAGCAGTACCTGCTCGTGTAACACTAGGAGTCACTTCTCTTCTCACACTTTCTACCCAACATGCTAACAGTCAGAAATCCCTCCCTCCTGTCTCTTATATCAAGGTAAACGACATTCCAATCTATATATCAAGGTACACGACATTCCAATCTATATATCAAGGTACACGACATACCAATATATATTTCAAGATAAACGACATTCCAATCTATTTATCAAGGTACACGACATTCCAATCTATATATCAAGGTACACGACATTCCAATCTATATTTCAAGGTGTACGACATTCCAATCTATATATCAAGGTACACGACATTCCAATCTATAAATCAAGGTACACGACATTCCAATCTATATATCAAGGTACATGACATTCCAATTTATATATCAAGGTACACGACATTCCGATTTATATATCAAAGTATATAGTACATTTCATTCGTTGCATAATACAAACTACGTATTTACTGAAATTACGCTTAAAGTCGTAAATCAAGAAGAATTACGTATCTCTCACTTTTCATAAAGACCGACCTCACATTTCCTTAGAACGTTATTTTCACTTTGAAGAATGTCAAAAAAAAATTAAGAATTTTATTGGATTTTTTCATGTTTGAAAATTTGCGCAACTTGGGTATTTTGTGAGGGGGCGGGGCAGACGTAGAAAATTTTTGATTTGAGTTGAAATAAAACTATAATAATCAATGTTCTAAACTTATAGTTCAAAACACTTTCTTGATCAAAATCATGTCATTTTTTCCATTTTTCACCTAAACTTTTCCGTTTTTTTACCATTAAAAATCCTTAACATTTTGGTTTTTTTATGAATCTTTTAAGTATTTTCTTCAGCCTAGGTGATGTGATTTTAACAATTTCCCTCAATTTTGGCCAGAAATTCTTCGTTTTTAAGCCCTATCTCTTGGGAATTCCTCCCCCCCCCCTCTCCTATTTGGTGACAATTTACTATTATCTATAAAAAGTTGTGTTTTCTTAGCACTTGTGATAACTTATTCCCTCCAAACCAAAAGAAAGTTTCAATAAGAAAGAAAAGTTTACCAAATTAAAAGGGCAGAATGTTTCCTCCAACTTCTGTTTGAAAGCTGAAACTAGTTTTACTCAAATAGATTCTAGTACAATAGATGGCAACACAGACTACACAGACTGCTCATACCTGGATAGGCTGAGCAGGCCTATAGTGTCCCGACACGCCATGCTACGGTTCCATGGATTTTTTTTGACTGACATCTCACGGACACTTCATGTATTCAAGGGTTAAGTTTTACAACTTTTAAAGAAATACTCCAATTTTAAACTTAAAACATGACGTTTATGAGTATTGTCTATTTTTAAAGATTTAGCATTTCCGATTCAAAGGATCCTTAAATATCCCTAAATACAGATGTTTGCTGATCTCTGAAACTCTCTTATCTCTGGATGTGCACTCTCAGTACAGCTGTATTCTGACGTCACAAGTGTCAATTTAGTTTTTGTGTCCGACAAAATTCTTAATAATAGTGATAATTTTAGAATAAAGTGCTTATCTTACCGTAAAATAAGTGCAATTTTATGTGTTCTTTATTTTCTGTTTTTACATTTTTATTTAATCTTGGAAAACATGTCAACTAATGTGAGAACGTTTCTTTTTCCTTGTTATATTTGACACTTGTGACGTCGTGTATAATTGGTCCATTTCTCTGTTGCCACCTATTGTACTTGATACTCTATTTGGTTTTACTACATGGGGTGTCTCGGGAAAAGTGCATTAAAACTTTTTGTCATACTAAGAATCGTTGTATATTGTGTAAAAAAGTGCTCCTTGTGTAAGGTTAAATACCTAACGATTTATACTTTTCAAAAGTAGGACTAGGACTAATATTGAAAAATATGCGATCGTTAGCTGTGACCAAAGATTATTATTTACTTGGATTGAAATGTGCATAATTGGAAAAAAACCCAATAAAATTAAAAGGAATATCTTATACTCAAAATAAAAGGAATATCATGTTGCATATCCCTATCCTATTAATTCGTTCGTAAAAAAATTTATTTACATACTAAAATCTTTCTTTAAATTCGATATATTGCTTTCAAATTTAAATTAATGAAAGCAGTAGAATTTGTCTTATCTAGCGCATTATACATAACAATTTTTTTGAAGGAAAATATTTAAATTTGCAGCACACACTTTGTAGATTTAAAATTTAAAGTGCATGTACCACAGACTAACTCACATTGCTCATGCGCTATAGTAAATGCGATATTTTCCACAGCAGGTTCCATTGTGTACAACTGGAGGTTACACGACCATTCAAAAAACATCTGTCTTCAGGGATATTTAAGGATCCTTTGGATACGAAATACAAAATCTTTTTAAAAACTGAATTTGTAAATTTCATGTTTCATGTTAAAAATTGGAATGTTTCTTTAAAAATTGAAATTCTTAATTGGAATGGTTCTTTAAAAATTGTAAAACTTAATTGGAATGGTTCTTGTAAAAATGTAAAACTTAATTGGAATGTTTCTTTAAAAATTGAAATTCTTAATTGGAACGTTTCTTTAAAAATTGTAAAACTTAATTGGAATGGTTCTTTAAAAATTTTTAAAACTTAATTGGAATGGTTCTTTAAAAATTGTAAAACTTAATTGAAATGGTTCTTGTAAAAATGTAAAACTTAATTGGAATGTTTCTTGAAAAATTGTAAAACTTAATTGGAATGGTACTTGTAAAAATGTAAAACCTAATTGGAATGTTTCTTTCAAAATTGTAAAACTTAATTGGAATGGTTCTTGTAAAAATGTAAAACTTATTTGGAATGGTTCTTGTAAAAATGTAAAACTTAATTGGAATGTTTCTTTTAAAATTGTAAAACTTAATTGGAATGTTTCTTTCAAAATTGTAAAACTTAATTGGAATGGTTCTTTAAAAATTGTAAAACTTAACCCTTGAATGGTTCTTTAAAAATTTTAATCTTAACCCTTGAATGGGCATTAAATGCAACATGTGGCCGTTAAATATACATGACAGTCAAAACCCTCTCGTGGAAAAATAGCCTGCTAGGCTATCCTGAGCGTATGCAAGCCTGTGTATACATATTGGTAAATACACATTCTGGAAATAATACGTTTTACAGAATTTATACTTTAAAGAATGTATGTGCCGATACCATGTACATTTAGTAAATGCCATTTTGAAATTGACCAATGGAAAAGACAAAAACATTTACATTTGAGGAAAAATATTGTGTAGTAAGAAGAACATTGGGTCCAGGTCAGAGACTCTAACACAGACTGCTCATATCCTCTCACGGGTTAGCCTAGCAGGCCTATTGTTGTCCCAGTACGCCATGTTCCTATTCCAGAAAATGTTTTTGACTGCCATCCAACGGCCACTTTTTGCAAAAAATACCCGTATTCAGGGTTTAAGTTTTACAATCTTAAAAGAAATAAATTTTTAAAATAAGATATAAAATTTGTTAATTTAGTCTATTTTTGAAGATTTGTTTTTTTTTGTACCAAAGAATCTTTAAATATCCTTGATTTCTCTTGGTTGGTCTTGTATTCCAGTTGTACACAATGGAACCTGCTGTGGAAAACATCGCATATTCTAGCGTATGATTAGTCTATGGTCTAGGCCCAGGTCAAGAACTGACATGAAAGGAAAATAAATTACTTGACATATTACTCTCAGAGAGAGATAGAGAACCAGATAAACTATCCGTGAATAGGCACTGGACCTAGACTGGTAGATAGGGACGGGCACCCGACCTAGACTGGTAGATAGGGACGGGCACTGGACCTAGACTGGTAGATAGGGACGGGCACCCGACCTAGACTGTTAGATAGGGAGGGGCACCGGACCTAGACTGGTAGATAGGGACGGGCACTGGACCTAGAATGGTAGATAGGGACGAGGCACCGGACCTAGACTGGTAGATAGGGACGGGCACTGGACCTAGAATGGTAGATAGGGACGAGCACCGGACCTATACTGGTAGATAGGGACGGGCACCAGACCTAGACTGGTAGATAGGGACGGGCACTGGACCTAGACTGGTAGATAGGGACAGGCACCCGACCCAGACTGGTAGATAGGGACGGGCACTGGACCTAGACTGGTAGATAGGAACGGGCACTGGACCTAGACTGGTAGATAGGGACGGGCACTGGACCTAGACTGGTAGATAGGGACGGGCACTGGACCTAGACTGTTAGATAGGGAGGGGCACCGGACCTAGACTGGTAGATTGGGACTAGAATGGTAGATAGGGACGAGCACCGGACCTAGACTGGTAGATAGGGACGGGCACCCGACCTAGACTGGTAAATAGGGACAGGCACCGGACCTAGACTGGTATATAGGGACGGGCACCGGACCTAGACTGGTAAATAGGGACAGGCACCGGACCTAGACTGGTAGATAGGGAAGGGCCCATTATAGACTATATATTTTTTTAAATAACAGAAAGAAAAGACAATTTTTGATGAAAAAAAAAAACAGAAAAGAAATTGAGTCTTTGACACAAACTCTGATTTTTGCTACCAATTCCCTAGAAAATTTGAAGTTGTGGTTAGGACTCAAATATTTAAAGGGAGTGTTCGCAAAAAATGAAAGGCTTACTTGAAAAGTATTTGAAAAACTTTTCTTAGGCATTGAAGACTAACAATTGCTGTGTGGCTGACGAGTTATGACGAACGGTTACTTGATCAGCATAAACGTTACGTAAATCTAACGAACCGTAAACAAAAAATACATCCCCCCCCCCTACACCTCGGAAAGAAGACAAGCATAACAAAAAGAAAAGAAAATTTACTGTACAATTAAATTTGCAAGGACCAATGTAAAATTCTTTCAAAACTAAAGCGAGACTATATAAATCATAAAACAAACAGGTTTTAATCAGATATTAGCGTTCGGACTCAACAGGGTGGCATTGATATTTAAATTGCAAAAGGGTGGCATTGATTATTTGCGAATGTAAAGAATCTAAAAATTATTAATAGACAAAAATAACCCAAACAAGATAGGCTTTATACGTGTCCAGTCCTATACTATTACATATTGCTTTTTGTATCATTTATACAAAACAAAACCAGGAGAAAATGTTCTTACATATTGTAACAGTCGTTAGGAAGGTTTGAATAATGAATATACTATACATCTTTGTAGTTGAATATCTAAATTAACTAAAGGAATTGAGCCTTTGCCTAAAACTAAAATTTTCTAATCACTAACATTAAACAGAATTCATAGTTTAAAATACCAAAGCCTTACGCCTTTTGGTACAAAAAGAAAAAGGAATTAGAAAATTAGAGTTTGTGCCAAAGTTTCAACTCCTTTCAACGAGATTTGTAAATTAAAAAACTAATATTTGTTTAGGCTATTGACATGTTCATGTCCTCGTGCACGTTCTTTGTGTTCTTCAGTTTGATAGAGTACGCG